GGAGCAGCCGCACAGCGTCCTCAAGACGGAGTACATCGAGCGGGACAACAGGAAGTACTACCTGGATCTGAAGGAGAACCAGCGGGGGCGCTTCCTGCGCATTAGGCAAACCATGAGTCGAGGACCTGGCATGATCGGCTACTTCGGCCACAGTTTGGGGCAGGAGCAGACTATCGTCCTGCCGGCGCAGGGCATGATCGAGTTCAGGGATGCTCTGGTGCAGCTGATTGAAGAGTACGGCGACGGGGACATGGAGGAGCGCCGCGGCGGCGGCGGCGAGGAGCCCGCCGAGCTCCCCGAAGGCACCTCGTTCCGAGTGGACAACAAGCGGTTCTACTTTGATGTGGGATCCAACAGGTATGGCATTTTCCTGAAGGTAAGTGAGGTGAGGCCGCCGTACCGTAACACCATCACTGTTCCGTACAAAGCGTGGACAAGGTTTGGGGAGAATTTTATCAAGTATGAAGAAGAGATGAGGAGGATTTACAACAGCCATAAAGAAAAAAGAATGGATATCAGAAGGGACAGTGGCGAAGAGCAAGAGGGTCTCGAGTAGAGTGCATTGAACTGGCCATCTGGCAAAATTAAATAAAAAAAAAAAAGGGAAAAAAAAAGCAGAAATTGGTGAGAGGGACTGATCTAAAGTAATTTGAAATTGCCCCCATTTTTTGTAAAAATCCTTTTTGGGTAGTTATTATTAACTCCAGAGTACATAATGTTGCAGGAGTCTTGTTATCATGTTAAATTACACTCAGACCATCTCTCTATTTCTTGCGAAATACCAGCCTCCCAAGTCTGTATGAGTCAGCTGCATCAAGTGTGGAAGACTATGGAAGTACACATATCAGCACAAAAAAAGAATGACATTCTGACCTTTAAAGAGTCTAGATAAGGCTTGTGTTGCACTTCAATGTGATACAAAAGAACCTCACGCTGAAATGTATTGGTTTCTGCTTAAGCCAGATTTTCTGAGAATGAATTCTGTCTGTGCTTAGCCAAAAGGCATCTGCCAAACCAGTCAACTTCATGTTAACTGCTCATACATGTCTGAGGAGAGGTAGATGTTTTGAAATTAGCATGGTTACTGGGTTCGAAACAATATTCTCTGCAGGTAAAATCTTGATAACTGGTCAGACCTTTATAAATGCACTGGTAAAGGGTGGAAAACTTGTTATTTAATTTTGCGGTTTTGTGCTGACCAGATTACCCTGAGTATCCCACGATTATGGAGCTGTGGTTGCATTCTAACCCTTCTGAATTAATAGCCACAAATATCAGCCCATTATTCATCTATGTGTTCTGCCCTTGCGAAGCTGGTGTTTTAATGCATTTCTCGAATTTTCAAAAGCTATTTTTGTAGTGGGGGTGTTATGGGTTCCAGCAAGCGGCCGTGAGGCAGGTGTCGAGTGATTGCGATTATTGAGATTCCTGGGTTCCCTCCCAAACGGGAGATTAATGCAGTTGTGATGTGAAAAGCGTGAGGAAAACGTGGGCATTTTTCTCCTCCTTCTGTGAGAAAGACCTTTGGGGGGTTTGGTGCACCATTTGATTTGCATAAAAATGCATCTCGATCATATTTCTCTGGAGTGCGTTTTCGGTGCCATGGTGTCTTTGTCACGTTGATTTCACAGATGTTGTCGTCCCAAGGTAATATCCATGTCCTACTCCCACCTTCTCCCCACCCTCTCAAAGCCAAGGCTCTGATCAGCACCTGATATCTGATGGTGAAGTCTGCCAGTGTCTGTAACGTCAGGGTTACAGGTATCCCCTCTTGCAAAATAAATCCTCTGCTTGAGGGAAAATAGGTAGAATTACCTCTTTTGGAGGCTTGGAGAGAGTTTTCCCAAATTCTTTGGCATTTCTTCAGAGATAAATATGTACCATGGACTTTCTTGGCCATTTAGGGACCAGTTCTCTTTCTTCCAAAATCATTGGAAGAATGACCGAAATCCAGGTACTTTGAGTAAATGCATTGCCTACTTTAAAGGTTTTTTTTTTTTACGAATACAAATTACTGTACCAAATCAGATATTTATAACCATGTGATTTTTTTTTGAATTTATTTATTTATTTTTTACCAAGTGGCCTCGTGCGCATTGGACCAGCTATTTTCTGATCCAACCATTACATGTTCTTTCTAATCAGCTTAGAATCAAATTTACCCCAAAACCAAACTGTTCTTGGCTCTTAGTTTGAACCCGCCTGCACGGCCACGTGAAATCCAAACGTGATTCTCTGCTACATCGTGAACCGCAACCAGAAAGGTTGGGTATGGGGGGCAGGAACTAAGAGGATAATCTGGATTTAAGTCTGCATTCTAAAAGTAGTCAATTTGTTTAACAAAAAAAAAAAAAGAAAAAAAATATAAGCTTGCACCAAAGTCACCAAAGAACCTTTAGGAAAATGTTACGGTTGTGACAGGAAGTAAGAAAGTTAATTTCACTGTTTTAGGTGATATCCCCTTTACGTGAAACCACTTTAAGCAGTTACCACAAACAAGGATTTGGCTTAATGTCAAAACTACCATCCATTTACGTGTAGGTTGGTCTTTCAGGTGCTTTTCAAATGATACTACAGATTTTTCATTCCACCACTTGAACTGCTAGTGGACCACGATGGCTCAGCTGGATGTTATAGGGGTCCTGGTTCATTTGGGCTTTTGGAGCTTTGGTCCCAGTGTTTTCTTTTTTTTTAGCGAGTCGAAGATAACACTAAAATGAGTTTGTGTCGTATCGTTGGTGTGAAACGAGTTTAGTGACTGAGCTGGCGATCCGCTGGCTGCTGCTGCCCGTCACAGTGCCTGGAGCAGAGGGCGGCTCAGCAGAGGTTCCAACCCACGGAGCTGTGAATGTACAAACACCTCCCCCGTGCTTCCCTCCCCTCCAGCTTCAGCATCTTCCAGTCAAAACTAAGCTCCGATGTTGGAATGTGCCTAAGTTACATGTTTGTTGTGAGTGGTCGTGCATTCCATGTGCTGCTTTAGAGATAGGGAAGAAAATATTTGCTATGCGCAAGGTGATGGAAAAGGTATCTTTTCTTCACAGATTTAAAAAAGAAAAAGCAAAATGGCTTTCGTTATTGCTACCCGTTTGCCATTTTGACTAACTCAATGCAGTCTGGCTGCATCTTAGTGAAACTGAGATCTGCCTCTGCTTAAACCCTTTTTTTTTTTAATATCCTTTTCCTGTGCTCATTAATTGGCCTTCTAATTGCATTAGGTTGTTGCAAATACGGACCAGGGAATGAGCGTCTGCTGCCGGTGGGCAGGGCTCAGTTCTGGTCCGCAGAAACTCTGTAGGGTTAACTAATGCATTTACTCTCCCCGAGCGGGTTGCACCTTAGTATCTGAAACTGCATCAAGATCTTCGAGCGAAACAGCCGACTGCCGATGGGTAAAGTGCAAGAGAACGGGTTTCCGCCGACGCGTAAAGCACTGGTGTTTGCAGATGTTGTCATTTGAGGATAATAACAGGCTCACTCAAAATGTAGCGATGCAAGGTTACGACGCCTAGATTTGGAAACGGGTCCCTCGTTATTTTTGGCAGTGCGGTTTCGGCTTTTGAGAGCAGCAATAACGTCGGCTGCTTGTGTGCAGAAAGGCCCCGTGTAACGCTTAGGAGTGCTGAATTCCTAATGCATTTTAAATTTTCATGCTTTCTGCCCTAAAACTGCCATGTCCCTTAAACTTGAGAAAACACAAGCTTATTTGCACTAGAAAGAACGGCCAAAAACAATTCTAGGAGGACAGGGTGAAGAGCACCGGTCTGAACCTCTTTTTCCTTATTTTTTTTTTTGTTTCTCATGAGGGAGTTTCACGTGGAAGGCCTCACCTCTGTTGCAAAATCGTATGGTCCGGGCAGAAAGTCTGTCAGTTCAATAATTAAATCCTGATGCACTTTATATTGTGTAAATAATAGGAGCACATTTCTGCCACTGGTCTGGTAGGGGGTGCTTCGGTAGCGTAGTCTAGGAGAGAAGTCGTCTCCTGCATGCGCTTGTCTGGTAGAGATCTCTGCTCGATCCAGATCCGCTCGTGTGTTAGGGAAGGGCAGGCGCATCCGACCACGTCGCCGGGAGCCTGGGATCGATGTTGGCTTCCCGGGACCGCCGAGCGCCCGCAGCTCCGGACGGTCTCGCGTGTCCTCGGGAGCTCCGTCCGTCGGGCCCCGCGTGTTTGCGTTGGGATTTCAGCGCGTGCTTCTGAGCTGTGATCCTCACGGAGCTGCGCCGGGCGCTCGGCGCTGCTTGGCTTTCGCCCCCCTTGGCACACGGAAGTTTATCCCAGCTCCGAGGGGCTGCGCGGGCTGCTCCGGCGCTGCAAAGCGCCCAGAGCGTCCTGCGTGGTGACCTGCAAAAGAAGTTGGCAAAACCCTGCAGAGGGGCCCAGCCCGGGCTCCTCCAAAGCCCCGGCCTTGCCCTCGCCCTGCAGAGAGGCCTTTCTCAAGCAGCAAGGGGTAAGAACACGGGTGCGTGTTTGGGGTACGTCTGCGCGGCGCGCGCGGCGCGTTTACCTAGGGAGGAGCTGCGGTGGGCTTGGTGGTCTGCTCTTTGTCATAAATGTTTTATATGTACTCAATATATAAAAATCCATATTTACATATAGGCATTAATATATTTACGTGTGTATATTGTACCTTGTAGTAGCTCATAGCGAGAGAATCTATTTATCGAGGGAACGCGGCCCAAAGGTGGGGCGTGAGAGGCGGTTTCTCCAGCTGCGAGTTTGGATGAACACGTTGTTTCCCCGGGACCTGTTTGCCTGGTGTTTTATCTTGACCCTTTTAAGATTTCTGCTTCTGAGTGCTTTCATCTGGCTTTCGGTGAAGGTGCAAGGGGAAAAAAAAAGGCTGAAAAAAAGGGAAAATCACATATTTCAAAGCGGTGCTTGCTTGAACCAAGAGCCGTGCTTAACTAACAGCCTGCGCGTCCTGCAGGCCACGTTTTAAAATCCCCCAGGTCTGCAGACCTGTAGTACAATATTCATACAATCCCAAACACGTCGTTAGTGTCAGAAAACTGATCTTTATGCAAAAGAAAACCCAAGCAATTACCAAAATCAGTTTTGATGTGCATTTTTTTTTATGCTCTGAACATCTTAGTCTGATCGCATCGTTTTTCTCCCCTACACTAGTGACCTAAACTCATGGGGCAAAAAGTTGGTAGCACTTAGGAATCCTACTGCTCAGAGGAGTTACAGCCCTTTTATGCAAAATTGTAGTCACTTTTGTAGCAAAAAAGGTTTATTGTTGCGTGTTTTTATTGTGGACATCTTGCACCTTCTGGAAAATGAAGTAATAAGCAGATTTTAGCTCAATTGTTGCTATTTGTATTGTACGTATGGACGTACAATGTATACAATAATTTTTAATGGAAAGCATGCCTTCCATTTAATTTCCTATGCTGTTTCCTTCAAAATTAAAATGGCTCATTATTTGTTGGGGTATCTAAAATGCACCTTTCCCCTCCTACCACTCCATTCCCTTATTTATCCAAATAAGACCATACTCAGTTTACAATATGTTATGATATGCTACTTCCATTTTACTCCTCTTCATGGATGAATTCAGCAGA